GCGGCAGCGCCTCCTCCCAGGGCAGGCCGCCGGGGTCAGCGCGGGCTCCCACCCGCTTCCCGACCCCCCCGTCGGTCGCGCAGTTGCCCAAAAGCGAGGACTTTGCCCGGCTGAAGTAAGAGCTACCGCCGTGCCGCTGCTAACGGCCTGCCAGGGCCCCGCCTGGGGCTGTGAAATCGCCGGCCTCTTGGGAGAGCCGGAGAGCGGCAGCACCCCCGGGGCGCCCGCGCCTCCGCTCGGGTTGCCTCACGGCTGGTGGAAATGCGCAGACTGCCCAGGATTTTAGCGGGGAAAGTTCACCGGTAACGTCGTCAGCAGCGTAAAGGACTGACGGGGGGTGTGTGCACCTGGGGAAAAAAAGCTGCGCTCTCTGGTTGAGCAGGTGCAAGACGCCCTGTGGAAACCGCAGGAAGATCTGCGGTCTGGAACGTATCTCAGAGCAACTTTTTCTCCACGTTCCCGAGTGCTTTTTGCCCCTGCTTTGCCTAGCTACTTACACTGACAGCTTGCTGTCAATGGGTCATGCCCATGAGACCATTCCTGGCCACCGGCAATTCTGAAGCAGCTGGCAGCAGTGCAGACTGCTCAGCCCAGTGGCGAGAAACATTTGAGAGGCAAAGAACACATCTGATGCAAAGCCCGTTGCTTAAGCACTACAGTCAGTCCATCAATACCACCCAAATCCCTTCAGCTCCAAGGCTTACGCACCCCTTCTGCCCTCAGCAGCCGCCTTACAGACAGAGGTTTTGCTTTTTGATCGTGCTCAAGCTGCCATCCTACCAAACTGCTACAGAATGAGATAACAGAACTGCTGCAGAGTCGCCTAGCTTTTTCAAAAACTCATTTGCAGCAAAACATTATGTTATCATTAATCACTCACAAGTCTACTACTTGAAAGTTTGAGAACTTAATTTGCTTGAGATTGCTGGAACTTGTTTTACTCCCCCTCTTACCAGGGAACAGCATCCTTCCTGTAGCTAAGCCACACACTGGGGCAGCAAATTATATATATTTTTTTTATTTCAAGTGTACAGGAGACACTAGAAAGTTCAAAAGAATAATAAGCATAAGTCTGAGATAATTTGCATTACCTACTCTCAAACTGCTTGGTAAAGAAAAACACTGTGAAACTATTCCTATGAAATGATGGATTAGCATTAATACAGGGAGAAATTTAGGTTTTAACCTGCTGTTCCGTACAAACATTTTTTTTGTCAAATTCAATGGCTGATCACCAGCTTTGACTTCTTTTCTTAATCAACAGACCCCTCTAGGAAATCTGTACAGTTTCTTAGGTCTCGTAAAAAATCTTACGGTTAAGTTTTCATGTTCCTTCTGTAACTGAGCCGGAGTACTACAGAGCTGAGCAGCAGAAGTTGACTTACAGGGCAAGAGCTCCACCGTCAGGCCATTTGCCCAGACCACACAGCAGCAGCCATGTCCTTTGTATTTGAGCAAGCCTGTTTACTCGATCAAAATACAGGTCACGGCTGTGGCCCATGCCCCCCCCGCCCCATCCCAGCTACCTGGGCAAGGGACAGCTTTGCTCAGCTTCAGTCCTGCCTGGATATGCTGCAGCTACAGCCAGCTGTAAAGTGACATTACCTGGCTGTCCCTGTGAAAGCCCCAGCCCAGGGGGAACCGGGGCTCCTGACCCCCTGCCATTCAGCACCAGTTTCCCTTGGATGGAGAAGACAGCCCTCCTTGACTGCCAGCTAAGAGCCAAACGCAGGACATTTTAGAAAGGCCAGAACGTATTTATTGACAAATAGGTGTGGGAATAGAGCACCGGGCAGGAGGCCGTCAGCGACAGTCCCTTCCTGCGCCTTGGCGGGCATCCCCAGCCCTGTGCTGCACGAAGCCCCTCTGTCCCTCACGCCTTCTTTCTCTTGCCGCCACCACTGCCGGTGCCGCTGCCCACAGGCCGCTGCTGCTGCTGTTGTCGCCGGGCTCCGCTCTTCTTGGCGCTGCGGCCAGCGCGCTGCTGCCGGCGGCCACGCTTCCCCCGCTGCGACTGCTTCTTGCCCTTGGCGGCGGCGGCCTCGGCTTCCTCCTGGCGCAGCTGCTTGTTGACGGCCCGGGTGATGTCGAGGACCGGCCTCTTGCTGCCCATGTCCCGCAGCAGCTCCAGCTGCCGGCTGCGCTCGGCCGCCAGGTTGCCCAGCAGCGGCTCGAAGCGGCGCTTCCTGCCGCCGCTGCGGGACGGCGG